ATCGCCGACGAGGAGGTGGACAGCATCGCCCTATCGGCGTTGCAGCTGGGCGCCGTGGACGTGGCCGAGGTGTACTCGCCACATCGGTTCTCGGCTCGGGCAGCGGACTTTCAGCTGCGCCCGGGCTTCGCGGCGGACCTGGAGGAACTCAAGGAGGACGGGACGCCGTGGGACTTGCGGCGCCCCGAGGATGTCAAGGAGCTCGAGGAGCAGCAGGAGCAGATGGATCCCATCCTGCTCACGGGGTCCCCTCCATGCGAGAAGTTCAGCTTGCTGAGGGGCCTGAGCGCCAAGTTCAGGACCGATGAGCAGGAGGCGGCAGAGATGGAGGAGGCCAGACACCACCTGAAGGTGGCAGTCGACGCCTACTGGCGTCAGCTCAGGAAGCCAGGCAGGTACTTCCTGCATGAGCATCCCTGGAGCGCGCGATCGGGGAATGAGGACATCGTCAAGGAGCTGGTCGCGCATCCAGGAGTCTTCACGGTCAAAGGCCCCATGTGTCGGTGGGGCATGAAGCTCACGAACCCACGCAGTGGCCAGGAGGAGTTCGTGCGCAAGGAGACCGGGTGGGTCACCAACCACCCAGGCTTAGCCCGGAGACTGCAGGGCACTTGCAGCAATGTGGACGGCCACGCGGAGTGGCATCGCCACATCACGCTCGTGGGCGGCATCGCGCGGTTCGCGAAGGTCTATCCACCGAAGTTGGTGGAGGCGGTGCTGGAGGAGCTCAAGGACACGCTGAACGACGTGGGGGAGCTCAGCACCGCCCAGGTGCAGCAGTCGGGCCCAGTCCCTGTGGACGCGGCGGTGCCGCCCGGGGACTGGACGAGCTATTGGGACGACGTCAATGGCGGCTACCTGGAGGCAGGCCTTGTGGCCCAGGCTCGCGCGGTCGAGCGCGAGTGGGTCAAGAAGCAGGAGCTGATCGAGATCGTCCCGAGGTCTCAGGCTTTCGCTGAGACTGGGCGTCCGCCCATCCCACTCAAGTGGGTCGACACGAACAAGGGCGACGCGGAGAGGCCCAACTACAGGAGCAGGCTCGTCGTGAAGGAGATCAAGGCGAAGAAGCGTCCTGACGAGCAGCTGGAGGCGTCCGAGGTCTTCTCGGCAATGCCTCCTCTGGAGGCCATGCGGTCGCTGGTCTCGCTGATGGTTACGTGGACGCGGGAAGCACCGCTCCACATTCAGGAGTCGCTTCGCAAGAAGGGCAGGAAGCCGGGCAACTTCAAGATCGGCTTCTTCGACATCAGCAGGGCGCACTTCTACGGGAAGGCGCAGCGAAGGATCTTCGTGGAGCTGGAGGAGGAGAGTCGCAAGGAGTACGGCGAGGACAAGTGTGGATTACTCCTCAAGTCCTGGTACGGCACGCAGGACGCCAGCAAGATCTGGCAGGGCGACTACACGGAGCTGTTGGAGGAACACGGCTACAAGGCGGGCGTGTCATGCCCAGCGGTCTTCTACAAGGAGGTGGACGAGACGAGGCGGCTGGGGCACGGCGACGACTTCGCGGTGCTGGCTCAGCAGCAAGACATCGACAGCTTCGAAGCCACGTTGGGCAAGAAGTACGAGTTCAAGAAGACTGCGAACCTCGGCTTCGACGAGGGCGACGACAAGCAGGCGGTCTTCCTGAATCGGGTCATCGAGGTCAGTGCGGGAGTTCCGCCTGGCGGTGGCCGGCCCTGCCGGCATGCGATGATTGAGCCGGACAAGCGGCACGCAGAGATCGTGATCGACGAGCTGGGTCTCAGCAAGGCCAACGGCGTGGACACGCCGATGGAGAAGCGCAGCGCCGACAAGCAGATGATGGACGCGAAGTCGGCGGCGCTGGGACCGGCGGAAGCTTCGCGCTTCCGATCCCTCACCATGAGGGTAGCCTACCTGTCTCAGGACAGGCTGGACTTGGCAGAGGCATCGAAGACGCTCGCCAGGTCCATGCAGACGCCGACGGAGGCGAGTTGGCTCATGCTCAAGAGGGTTGGCCGCTACCTCAAGCGGCGTCCCAGTACGGTGACGGTCTTCACGGAGCAGAAGATGTTCGACAAGATCCGGGTGTACGTGGACTCCGATCATGCGGGCTGTGCAGTCACTCGGAAGAGTACCGGAGGCTTCGTGGCGATGCTGGGGCATCACGTCATCAAGCACGGCAGTAATCTTCAGTCGACGGTCTCTCTGAGCAGTGGGGAGAGCGAGTACTACGCCCTGGTCAAGGGCGGGAGCGTGGGCCTGGGTCTACACAGCCTCTTCGCAGACTGGGGGCTGGACCTGAAGGTGGAGCTCGCCTCAGACTCATCGGCGGCCCGGGGCCACGTCCAACGGCGAGGTCTCGGGAAGATGCGACATGTTCAATCCCGATACCGGTGGATCCAGGAGCGCGTGGGCAAGGGCGACCTCTCGATCGCCGCGGTTCCTGGTAAGAACAATGTCGCGGACGTGCTGACCAAGAGCGTGGGTGGATCTCTCTTGAGGAGACACATGGCGACGCTCAACGTCTGGGATCGGGCACCGAGTTCGACCCAGAAGGATATCAAGTGAAGGAGTGGATCGAATCCATGCTCCGCTACCTGTGGGGCTGGATGAGTTTCCGCCGGTGGCGGTATGATCGCACCGGACGGGTGAAGTGAGGGGCTCGCGGCATGGCCGCAGCCTGGCTGACGAGATGGGCGCGTCGGCTTGGACGCGCCCGCGTGTGACGCTGAGATGGGCGTGTCGGCTTGGACGCGCCCGCGTACGACGCATGTCGTGCCTGGCCGGGTTGGCGGCCAGGCCCGAGGAGGAGTGATTCTGACACCCTCCTCCGTGTACCCATTTTGGCTCAAGATGGAAAAGAGATATCTTGTCCATCAGCATAATATATCATCAGTGTCAAACCACGTACATTCCACGTAGCGCACCGTAGTCCAGAATGGTGTTCATGAGGATGCGGCCCAACAGGATGGATGGTATCTTTGCCCATTCTGCCCGCGGGGGAAATCGGATGTGGAGAAATCCCAGGCTCAGCGGAGCCCGAAGGTGAAACAGCCCGGCGCGCGCCGGAGCTGTGTGCTGCGCGCGGCGCCCCGCGCCGGGGGGCGCGGACGCCTGCCAGGACTGCGGCAGGTGCGTGTCGTGCCGACTTCGGCGTTGGTTTCTGGCACCGCGGGAGTCGTGCAGCCTGGAGCGATGGTCATACCTCTACCCTCCGCCCGGTTTCCCCTTTTTGGGCCTCCCGGGAGGCCCTCGTCGCCACCGCTGGATTCGCCTCAGAATTCTGGTCAGAACGCACGCCGGGGGAGGTCCAGGGAGTAGCGGTATCGGTACCTTTTAGGTTCCCCAAGGTCTCCGAAACTTCGCTGCCCTGGCACGCCCGTTCTGAAACGCAACACGTACCATGTCAGCTCGCTGCGTGTTGGCTCAGCGTGCTGGCCAACGCACACGTGCGTTTTCGATCACCGTGTTGAGCTCCGTGTCACCACGCCACAGGTCGAGCGTTGCGTACTGGTGCAGCTTAGCTCCCAATTTGGGTCCGACTAGATGGGGTCAGTGGATCGCGTCGCATTGCCAATGCACCGATGCATCAGGGATGCCACTCGATGTGGAGCCCGACCTTCTCCGCGCCAGCGTCGCATCGGTCGCCGATGCATCGGCGATGCGGCTCGATCCTCCAGCCCCATCTACTCGGATCCCGCTTGAGCGACGCAGAAACACAGGGTTGTCGGCTTCGGCATTGGCGCGTGAGCTGCCCGCGCAATAAGCTAGGATGAGGCAGGATCGAGGGAGGCCGAGGTGGGGAGAGAGAGGAAGCAGGAAACATCAGGCGAGAGAAGGCGGGGGGGGGGGAACAGGAAGAGGGAGGGGTGATGAAGCGCGCGCGCAACAATGAACTAATGAAATTGGCATGTGCCGTTCTCAGCTCTGGGGCGGGACAGGGTGGTGCAATAAGCCCGTTTTGTGCTTCCTGCCCGCTCGACCCAAGGGCGGGGCAGCCCAGACAAGGAGGCGCACCCAGGCCTGCCGCGCTTGCTCCTTCTCGCGAGCCGCCCTCTCCCCTGGGCGCGGGCTCGCGACAGATGGGGCGAGGGGGCAGGGAGGACTGCGGCTGGAGGAGACAATGGGGGGTAGCAGGGAAGCGAGGAGGTACTTAGGGAGGTGGTGAAGGACGAGGGATGAGGATTGATGAGTTCACGGTGAGGTGGGCGAATGAAGGATGGGAGTGCGTTCCAGCTGGCCGAAGCTCTTGGGCCTGAGGTCGGTCAAGCTGACGACGGTGGGTCCCAGCTGGGCGATGGGAGAGCTCTCCTCCCCAGGTCTTCGGTGACGTGGCCCTGGAGGGGAAGTACCTGGTCGTCGCAGACTACCACGGGCCGGACGACGTGAAGTCTGGGGCTTGAGAGTTTGTTGTTCCCTCCAGGCAGGTTTGGTTTGTTAGATTCAGCCAAAGATAGCGGGCGAACACGTTGCATAGCATATTCTGTTCCGCCGTCGGGGCGCCGGTCCCAGGGCGGCCTCAAGGTTTGTAGCTCCCACTTGCCACCGCAGGGGCGTCAAGTTTCCAGCCGCCCTGGGGCAAGCGCACCCGATGGCGATACCTGTACGGCCACCCTTTGGGTGATAGGAAGGTTCGGGTGGGGGGGGAGGAACCAACGTCTCACTCAAACGGTTGCACTATCAATCGTACGATCGATCTCGCTATCAATCTCACTCTCGATCTCACTATCGATCTCACTTTGGATATCACTGTCGATCTCACTATCGGTCTCACTGTCGATCTCACTATCGGTCTCGCTGTCGATTTCACTATCGACCTCACTAGACGACACCGACAGGACACCGAGGGGACACCCATGGAACACCTGCGGGACACCCGCGGGACACCCCCGGCCACCGCCGGGCAACCCGGGGGCGGCAGCCTGTCGGCATGGCGGCCGGCGGCGTTCTGACCAGAGGAAGGTTCATCCTTCCCTCCCGCTCACTCAGCTTCTCCCTGCCCGCACGCACGACAAGAACACGCAACGGGCAACGATTTTCTGGTGGTGGGGCTCTCCCTGTCACTGCGATCTCACCCCCTCACCTCCGACCTTTCTTCGCCCCCTAGGGGAAGAGAGTCCGACCCGCCTCGCACACCCTGCGTACCGCGGCCGCCAGGCCCAAAGTGTGTCGGTGTTGCCTGTAGGATGCCGACTGCATGCCGCGCCAGCCAGGCACAAAGTGTGCCAGTGTTTCTTGGGGATCCCGCCTCGCGTTCTTGGGTGGCGATCATTCGAAGCGAAGCCACGTTTGTTGTTGATATTGTTGACGCTTCGCGTATCCCCACCAGCCCATCCAGAAACGATGCTCAGGGGAGTTGAGGTGATCAGGGAAGTCGGGGAGCATGCAGAATAACAAAGGGCGGGGGAAGCTGTCACAGACCCCGAGAGGGGGAGGATGGAAGAGGAGTCGTCATCGTCGTCGTCGTCGTCGGAGGAGGAGGAGGAGGAGGAGGGGGAAGAGGAGGAGGAGGAGGAGGAGGAGGAGGACGGAGAAGGAGGAAGAATCGGAGGAGGAGGAGGAGGAGGGGAAGGAGCTTCTTGGGGGTCTTTTGAGGGCCTCTTGGAGGGCTTTTTGGGCGCCTTGGGGCATCTTGGGCGCCTCTTGGGACCCTCTTGAGGCGCTCTGGGGAGCCTTCGGGGCGCTTTTGGGGCCATCTTGGAGGGAGTCGATCAAACAAGAGGGGGGGTTTAATTAGCGCCCCCCCTCGGAAGCCCCTAAAATCGCCTCTTGGACCCCTCTTGGAACGCTCTTGGAGTGCTCTTGGGCGCTCTTGGGGCCGTCTTGGGGCTCTTTTGGGGCTCTCTTGGGGCCCTCTTGGGCCATCTTGGAGCCATCTCAAGGCCTCGGATGGCCATCGGAAGCGAAAAGGCGAGAAAGCAAAAATCATTGATTTTCCTTAGGTTTTGGGACGATTTTGGCCTCTTCGGGGCCTCCTTGGGGAGCTGTTTGGCCACTTGGAGTTATCTTGGGGCCGTCTTTGGGCTTCTTGGAACCATCTTAGGAGCCATCGTGAGCGATCTTGCGCTATCTTGAGCCATCTTGGAGCTCATCTTGGGTTCTCTGAGGCGCTCTTGGAGCCGTCTTGGGCCATCAGGGACGCTCTAACTACCCGCGGCCCCCCCCGTCCAGGTCCAGGGGAGGGGGTAGGGGGAGGGGTAAACCCCTCCCCAAGGGGGAAGAGGGAGGGGTGGAAGAGGATCTGCTCTAGACCACCTACGCCCAGAGGGCTGGTGGGATTTTTTTTCAGGCTGGGTCGTTGTACCAGCCTTCCGCACTGAGGTTGCTCAAGCGTTGTCGTTCGCATTTGGTGGCTTTCGAGCCATCCCACCGCCGCGAAGTATCGGAAACCCATCGGTCGCCAGAAACCCTAATGGAATCTGGCGACCTATGGGGTTCCCGAACTTCGGAATCTGGACCCCGCTCGCCGCCGCGAACAATGAGAAACCCAGAGGTCGCCATATTCCCGATGGGTTTCTGGCGACATTTGGGTTTCCCATAATTCGGAGTCTGGGCCCCGCTCGCCGCCGCGAGTTACGGGAAACCCATAGGTCACCAGAAACCCCAATGGAATCTGGCGACCTATGGGGTTCCCATGGTTGGAAACTAGACCCCGCTCGCCGCCGCAAATTATGGGAAACCCAGAGGTCGCCAGATTCCCTAGGGGCTTCTGGCGGCCCATGGGTTTCCCATAAATCGGCTACCTGGACCCCCTTTGCCGCAGCGAACTATGGGAAAGCTATGGGTCGCCAGATTCCCTAGGGGTTTCTCGCGGCCTATGGGTTCCCCATAGTTCGGAACCTGGGCCCCGCTCGCCACCGCGAATGATAGGAAACCCATGGGTTGCCAGAAACCTCAATGGAATCTGGCGACCTATGGGGTTGGAGCCTGGACCCCGCTTGCCGCCGCGAATTATGGGGAACCCACAGATCGCCAGAAACCCTAAGGAATCCGGCGGCCGATGGGTTACTTCGGCATCTGGACCCCGCCCGCCGCCGCGGCTTATGGTGAACCCATCGGTCGCCAGAAACACTTAGGGAATCTGGCTACGGATGGGTTGCGCATAATTCGGAATCTGAGACCCGCGCGCCGCCGCGAACGATGGGAAAACCAGAGGTCGCCAGAAACCCCTGGGGAATTGCAATGTGGACCCCGCTAGCCGCCGCGAGTTGAGGGGAAACCCAGAGGTCGCCAGAAACCCCACAATGGAATATGGCGACCCATGGGGTTCCCATAATTCGGAATCTGGACCCCGCTCACCGCCGAGAATTAAGGGAACCACACCGGCAGCCGGAAACACCTAGTGGTTTCTGGCGACCGATGGGCGGCGCCCTTCGGGAATCTGACGACCCATGGCTTTCCCATGATTCGGAGTCTGGACCCCGCTCCCCGCCGCGAATTATGGGAAACCCATCGGTCGCCAAACACCCCAAGGGAATCTGGCGATCGAAGGGCATTCCAGACCCCGCGCGCCGCCGCGAATTATGGGAAACCCATAGGTCGCCAGAAGCCCCAATGGAATCTGTCTACGGGTGGGTTGCGCATAATTCGGGATCTGGACCCCGCTCGCCGCTGCGAATCGTGGGGAACCCATACGTCGCCAGATTCCCTAGGGGTTTCTGGCGACCCATGGGTGTCCCATGATTCGGAATCTGGACCCCGCTCGCCGCCGTCAGTTATGGGAAACCCATACCTCGCCAGAAAGCCCTATATAATCTTGCGGCTGATGGGGTCCCCATCGTTCGGAACCTGGACCCCGCTCGCCGCCGCGAATGATGGGAAACCCATCGGTCGACAGATTCCCTAAGGGTTTCTGGCGACCCATGGGTCTCCCACAATCTGGAATCTGGACCACGTTCGCCGCCGCGAAATCATGGGAGTTCCAATGAGGAATGGCGACTGATGGGTGCCCCATAATTCGGAATCTCGGCGCCGAGTCGCCCAGGGGGCAATTGTCTATCGATGGGTCCCCCGCAATTCAGAATTCTGGGGGTCCCAATCGCTAGAAACCCCGAGTGAGTCTGGCAGCCGATGGGTTTCCCATACTTCGGAAGTGTAGGGAACCCATAGATGAACGGCTGCCCCTCGTGAGGGCCTCCTGGTGACCTCTTGAGGCATCTTGGGCCCTCCCGGGGGGGCAGGGCATCGTGTATGCCAGCTCGGGTTATCCTGGCCGCCTTGGGAGGAAGTTTGGGCAACAGGGGACCTCTCGCGTTGTTTTTTTCTCGGGTAGCCAGCGGGATCGGCCAGCATACCACGTCGGCCAAACATTTGGCCCGCCAGGCACCGATTTGATACATCCACAGGGGGTGGCGGATCGAAGGTGCCTAAGTCTGAGCAGGCGGTTGTCACATGTGATCCACCCGACTTTGTGGATCTCCTTTGTCCGGAACATTCGGGAAGATGGAGGAGGAGGAAGAGGAGGAGGGGGGGGAGGAGGAAGAGGAGGAGGAGGAGGAGGAGGAAGCGGACGGAGTAGGAAGAGGGAGGAGGGAGGAGGAGGGGGGGGAGGAGGAAGAGGAGGAGGAGGAGGAGGAGGAAGGAGGAAGGGAGAGAGGAGAGAGGAGGAGGATGGGGGGGAGGAGGAGGCAGGAGGAGGAGGAGGAGGAGAAGAGAGGAGGTGAGGAGGAAGAGGAGGAGGAAGGGGAGGTTCAGGGGAGGAGGATTCAGGAGGAGGAGGAGGAGGATCAGGAGGAGGAGGAGGGGTCGTATGAGGAGGAGGAGGAGGAGGATCAGGAGGAGGGAGGAAGAAGGAGGAGGAGGGGGAGGAAGAGGAGGAGGAGGATGTGGAGGAGGGGGGAGAGGGAAGGAGGAGGGATGGAGGGGTGGAGGAGGAGTACTAGGAGAGGAGGAGGGACGGGAGGAGGAGGAGGAGGTGTGGAGGGAGGCGGACGAGGAGGAGGATAGGAGGAGGAGGGGAGGAGGAGAGGAGGAGGAGGAGGAGGAGGAGGAGGAGGAGGAGGAGGAGGAGGGGAGAGGAGGTAAGAGGCGGATAACGGAGGGGAGTAACAATAGTTGGATGAGGAGGAGGACGAAGAGGAGCAGGAGGAGGAGGAGGAGGAGGAGGAGGAGGAGGAGGAGGAGTACGAGTAGGAGGAGGAGGAGGAGGAGGAGGAGGAGGAGTGGGAGGAGGAGGAGGAGGACGAAGAGGAGGAGGAAGAGTAAGTAGGAGGAGGAGGACGAAGAGGAGGAGGAAGAGGAGGAGGAGGAGGAGTAGGAGGCCCTCTTGAGGCCTACTAGGGGCTTTCTGGGAGCCTCTTGGGTGCCTCTGAGGGGCCTCTCGGGGGCCTCTTGGGGGCCTTTCGGGGGCCTCGTGGCCTTCGGAGGCCGTCTTTGGCGCCTCTTTGAGCATACGTGGGTCCCTCGTTGGGCGTTTGAAGACAGCCTTGAGCCCGTCTTGAGGGCCTCTTGGGCCCTCTTTGGCTGTTTTGCGGGCGATCTTGGGGGCCTATGGGGCCGTTTTGGGGCTTCGGACGCCCGAAAAGGCGAGATCGCTTCAAAATAATCGAAACACCCATGGCAAACGAATTCGTTGCCATTTTGGCTCAAGTCTGTCTGGCTTAAGCCAACCCGTGTCCAGTCATTTTACGTCGATGTCTCTACCTGGTTCGAGGCAGATGAGGCGTTCTTGAAAGATTGGCGCGTAGATGATCAGGTATGGAACACACTGCAACGACCATATCGACCATCTCTGGCACCGGCTTCTCGCGCGAATCTTGTTTTATAGAGGACTGTCAGCGCGAGGTCATGTATAAATGCTTATGCCCATGGGCTGGATGTCCGAGGCACCTCTTCACCCTTTTTTGTGAAGAGCACGCTGCTGAGCGCAGGTGCCCCAGCTGTGGAGCGCCGTTCGTGCTTGAGCCCCCACATGGTCATTTGGTGAAGCCGCCTCTGTCACACATCGGTGACGGAGCAGATTTCGAGTTTTCGCAGGATGAGGCCGATGGCCCAGGCCGCCCTTGTATTCTTCTCGATCTCAGGTACACGCTCTTTTGGTCGGACTGGCAAGACTTCAGTGATCTGGGGGACAGAGTGGAAGGCAAATTGCCGGACGACTTCCGCCGGGAGGCTGGTGCGAGCCTGCACCTGCGACCCTACGCCCTGGAGTTGCTCCGGTGGCTGCTCGAAAGACTGAGGGGCGGCGAGTGTTCCCTAGGTTTTCTATCCACCTGGACTCCAGAGAACATGTGGGTTGCCGTGAGGTTTTTGCTCGAGTCCGCGACAGAGGCGCCATGGACACAGGGTACAGCGAACGGGGTTGCGGCACAGTGTGAGCAAGAGCCTTGGAAGGGCCTACGCGTTTTCATGTATGATGAGAGCTACACCGAGACGGACCTATACGGTTATTTGTCCAAGGATTTCGAGAAAGTTTTGGCCTCTTGGTGGGATCAGCCCGTCTGGAGAAGACTTACCATCTACATTACGTGTTCGGACGAGTGTATGTGGAATGGCAAGGAAAACGTGGTCATTGTGCATCCTTATGAATACGACGATTCCTCGGATTGTGAGCTCAGGGAACTGTCCGAATACGTGAAGTCGTTCCTGGCTCAGTCGTCGGGCTTCGATGTTCGAGCCTATTTGCGGAGTCACAAGTTCACCTCCACCGCGCAGAGACATTATCTCGACGCGATGCAGGAGCAACATGAGATCGAAGCAGACTGGCGGCCGATGTTTCAGCTAGTCAAAGAACAGAGCTCACGCATCAGTTTGCCTCCAGCGCTGAATGCTTGGCAGCGGAAGGTTTTGCATGATCTCGCAGAGAGTGTCGGCCTTCACCACGAGTCCTCCGGATTCGGTGAGTTCCGGTTTCTTCAGGTCTGGTTTGAGGCAGGTTCCTGAGGTTCAGGTATAGTAGTTTTTTACGCAATTGAGCGCGGGCATGTTGACAGGGAGAGCAGTCACCGACATATTCACCAGGCTCGTCGTGCCGGTCGCAGCTTCCCGTTACTGTCAAAATAATAACACCCATGCCAAAGCAATGATATTGGCTTCCTGGGGGTCCTCTTGCAGCCCTTTGGGGCGTCTTGGGGGCTTCTTTTGGGCCGTCTGGAGCGTATCTTGAGCCGTCTTGAGGCCGTCGTGGCCGTCTCGGAGGCGTCTTGGGACCATTTTGGGGCCCATCTTGGGCAAGGTTGATTGTGTTGAAGGTCATCTTGGTCGTATTGGGGGCATTGTTTGTGGACTTGATGGTTTTTCCGGGTGGCCAGTGGGGTGGGCCAAGACCACATTGGGAACTTTTTAAAGCCATTGCCCAACCGGGGCCTGGTCCCTGGCCGACTGAACATATAATTGTTTAATTTTCAATCTCAATATTTGTGTTCAGATCCCTGGCATTGATTTCCGTAGCCGCCATGTCAAGTATAGAGCATGACACCCCAGAGTTATTGCATTTTGAAGCTCAATGTTAGTATTTCAGTTCAATATCCGATTTCAGAGCCAATGCTGAAGTTTGAAGTCCAAGATTGAATTTCCGATCCCGCAGGCTGGGTAGAGGAGGAGAGGGGGGAGGGGGTCAGGCCATCCCAGGGGCGGGGCAGTTCGCGAAGGGCAGCGGGGGCATCGGGCGAGCGGGACAGTCAAGTATGAGGCTGAGGCTCAATCGAGATAGCACCCACGTACCCCAAGCAGGGCTCATTTCGATTCATCTGATTCGATTGGATTCGATTTCAGAGTCTTCCGATTCCGATTCGATTTGACGTAGGATTCCGATTTGGGCTCCGATTTCTCATTGGAGGCCTACTGGCCTACCGATTTCCGCCGATTCGACTTTTCCCGACTCGGCTGCCGATTCCCGCCGATCCGATTCATTCCGACTGCCGATCTTAGTCGTCGATTCGATTCTGGGTTTTCCTGCCCAAGGAGCAGGCCAGGTCGAGCGGGCGGACCCTGACGGGCGGGCGGGTCGGGCGGCGTGCGGGGCCCTAATCGACGGGCGGCGTGTCGGGCGGGCAGGACATGAAAGTACGACGCAAGCTCGAGGTCGGGTCGGGTCGTGTGGTCGGGTCGGGTCGGGCAGTCGGGTCGGGCGGTCTGGTCGGACGGTCGGGTCGGACGGCGGGCGGTGCCTTAATTCACATATTGGCGGGGGGGTGGGGGAGGAGGAGGAGGAGGAGGAGGAGGAGGAGGAGGAGGAGGAGGAGGAGGAGGGAGGAGGAGGAGGAGGCAAGAGGGGGGGAGGAGGAGGAGGAGGCCGCAGCCTCAAAAAGGCGCCCGTCCAAGACAAGTCACCCGAGGCGTTTGGTGACGGGTTCGGGTGGGCCTGCATGATCATGTAGATCGACAGGAGGAGGCGGATGATGTAGACGAGGAGGAGGGGGAGGAGGAATTGGATGATGAAGGAGGAGAAGCAGGAGGAGGAGGACGAGGAGGAGGAGAGGGAGGGGGACGAAGAACGAAGAAAGGTCCAGGAGGCGGAGGTGGATGAGAAAGAGGAGGAGGAGGAGGAGGAGGAGGAGGAGGAGGATAAGGATCAGGAGACGGCCGTCGCTTGAAGAAGGCGCCCGTCCCCTGAATTTCTCTGCAGTTCGTAGGCCAGGTCCGTGAGGGAAAGGGGGGAGGGCGGGGACGAGAGGCAGGCTGAGGCGGGCGCGACATTAGAGCACATCCGAATGTCAGCGAGGGGCGGAGCCCGTCTGGCAGGCCGTGCGAGCGGGGCGCTCCAGCGCGCGGGCGGGGCTGATCCCCGCGGCCGGATCGGTCGGGCGGGACATCAAAAGGCATGGCATCTAAAAGTAAGTTGGCAAACGCACCCGCGCTGGACGGCCGAGCGCGCTGGGCATTGCAGCAGACGGGTCGGGTGGGCGGGACATCAAATGAATCTTCGGGACATCCGAGCATGTGCTCCAGACAGCAGGACGGGCGGACGTCTTCTGGCATGCCGTGTGGGCGGGACATTCAGCGGGGGGGGGCGCGGGCGGATCGGGCGGCCAGGCAATGCACGTATGACGCACAATCGAGGCAGCACACACAGACCCTAACGGGCGGGTCGGGTCGCGCGGACCTTCACGGGCGGCGGGTGGGTTCCTAGTTGGCGGGCCGACGGGCGGCGGGTCGGGCGGGCGGGACAATGACGCAAATTCGATGTGGCATGCGCTCGCCCTAACGGGCTGGTCGGGTCAGGCGGCGAATCCTGACGGGCGGGCGGGTCGAGCGGCGGGCGGGGCTCTAACGGGTGATCGGGAGGGGGCGGGTCGGGGAGGGCGGGACATTCGAGTGTGACGCAGGTCTCGAAGTAGCATGCGGCTGCCCTGGCGGACCAGTCGGGTCGGACGAGCGCGTGGTCGGGCGGGCAGGACATCACCGTGTGACGCAGCTGTCGAGGTGCCGGCTGGGCTAACTTTAAGACAGGCCAGACAATTTACCGTCTATCACGCCAGGCATTCTTTTGATCAGTTAACATGGAGCGTCGGATCGGAGACGCCTACAGCGAATCACCGCCACCCCTGGTCGCTTGGACACGCTCAGTTGGCCAAGCGTTGGGCCGAAGTCTGACCAAGCTAGTGGACTATGTGACTATGTGTGTTCTCCAAGCCGTTGTGGGCCCCCCTTGGGGAACATTGTGAAGAGGAAGAGAGAGAAGAGGGAGGAGAAGGAGGACGAGGAGGAGGATGAACAAGAAGAAGAAGAAGAAGAAGAAGAATCAGATGCCTCGTGAGGCCCCCTTCTGGGGGCTTCCTGCGAGCATCTTGAGGGCCTCATGTGGGCCTGCTGAGGCCTTTTGGGCCCTAGGGGACCTCTTGGCCTTCGGGGGCCGTCTTGGGGCCTTTTCTGGGGCGCTGCAGGGGCCCGTCCTGGAGCCGTCTTGGGGGCTTCTCGAATCGTCTCATTGCCCTGGTGGGCCGTCCTGAGGGCCGTCTTGAGGGCCTATGGGGGCCTATGGGGGCGTCTGGACCGGCCGAAAGCCAAAGAAAAAAGACGGGAACGCGAAATTGTAGAACAGCCTACGGGACAGCAATCATGCTGGCTTCCTTGAGGTCTTCTTGGGGCTTTCTTGGGGGCCTATTGGGCCGTCTTCGGCGATGTTGGGGCCATCTTGAGCCGTCTCGGGTGCATCTTGGGCCGTCTTAGAGACATCTCGGGGGCCTCTTGGGGCCGTCGGATCCATCTTCTTTCGAATGCCTTTTGAAGGGCGTTTGGGGGCCTCATAGGGGCCTATTGGGGCTTCTTTGGTATTTCTCGGCAGCCGCTTGGAGGTACCGTTGGGGCCGTTGGGGGCATGCTGGAGGCGTGCAGGCTCTCTCTCTCTCTCTCGCGGGGTAGAGGCCTTGCCATGCCAGGTCGTGTACCCCCTCTTGGGCATCTGATCTGGTGGGACCCCGCTGGGCCGTCTTGGGGCCCTCTTTGTGGCTCCTTCGGCCGTCTTTGGGCGATCTTGGGGGCCTTTTCCGACCATCGTGCAGCGCTGGAAGACCGAAGAGACGAATCTCGAAACGCTTCCAAACACCGAAGGTCCATGAGTGAATGTTGCATCTTGCGGCCCTGGGGGGGTCTTTTTGGGCCCTTCCTGGGGGAGCAGCAAAAGGAGCGGCGGGAAAAGGGGACGCGACGACGACGAGGGAGGAGGATGAGGAGGGGGAGCGAGGAGAACGAGGTTGAGGAGGCGAGTCGTGTTACTCGGCAGGAGAGGGTTGTCACCCCTGCCAGGACAGGGGTCAAAAGGGCTGGGCTCCCCTTCGCTTTGATTCTTTCTGACTTGGGGCGGTTTCCCTCGGGCTGTCGATTTTGCAACGCTAAACTCGGGCTGGTGACTCGGGCGTGTTCTCTTTGGTGCTTTGCAGATGCTGGGAAAGCTCTGGCATGCCAAACTTGGGAAGGGCTTCGCCCGGCCTCTCACACACGCAGACAGAGAATCGGGATTTCGAACTGCGCCTCTCCCACTAACACCATGCACTCTTTCGCAAATGTCAGGCGCGTGGTGCCGAGTCCTTCGCGGGATTGCGAACGGCGTCTCTCCCACTAACACCATGCACTCTTTCGCAAGTGTCTGGCGCGGGGTGCCGAATCCTGTATCCCCAGGCCGAAAGTTCTTCCTTTTTGTATGAATAATATGAGAGCGCCTATGGATAACATTGGATCATTGTTGTCGGGTGTGCCACCATGTCATGGATCTTATTTTGCTGGTCTTGTGCGGATCCAATCTCCCGCGTGTGAACAACACCAAAGGATCCATTTGTTTCCCGGGAATACATATGTGATAACAGTTAACATCGCGGACCCAGGGGGAATTAGATCCGCCGGGCACCGCGCGTGAAGCATCATGCTATCCACGGAACTGTGGACCTGTTCACCAAAGCTATGATTCTACGGGGGAGGGGGGGGTTGTCTTCCAAGGACGGAGAGGGAAAGGAGGCGGGAGGAGACACGAAACCGAGGAGAGCGCCACGTGTATCCGCTCACCTGAGCGGCACGTCGCTTCCGAGGTTTGGGGCTCAAGGGGAACATGTTCGGCGTGCGTAAGCGGGATTTCGAACTGCGCCTCTCCCACTAACACCATGCACTCTTTTCGAAGATGTCTGGCGTGGGGTGCCGAATCCTTCGCGGGATTTCGAACTGCGCCTCTCCCACTAACACCATGCACTCTTTCGCAAGTGTCTGGCGCGGGGTGCCGAATCCTTTTATCCCCAGGCCGAAAGTTTTTCCTTTTGGATATGAGAAAAAATGAGGACACTGATTGGTCCAATTGGACTTTTCCGGGTGTGCGACAGCGTCATGGCTCCGATTTCTGTCTTGCGAGGGTCCAACGTCCGCGCGGGGACAGTGGATTCATGTATTGACCCGGAATAAACATGCAATAACAGTGAACATCGGGGACCCATGGGAAATAGGATCCGCGGGGCACCGCGCGTGAAGCATCATGCTATCCACGGAACTGCGGACCTGTTCACCAACGCTACGATCATACGGGGAAAGGGTGGGTTCTTCCAAGGGCCGAGGTGAAAAAGGAGGAGGGAGAAGGCACGACATCGAAGAAAACGCTACATGTATCCGCTCACCTGAACGGCGCGCCGTTTCCGACATTTGGGGTTCAAGAGGCAAAGTTTTCGGCCTGCGTAGGCATTCCTGGCGACCGTCGTCGTCGTCGTCGTCCGCCGTCGTCCTCGTCGTTGTCGTTGCCGTTGTCGTTGCCGTCGTCGTCGTCGTCGTCGTCGTCGTCGCCGCCACCGCCGCCGCCACCGTCGGTCGTCGTCGTCATCATCGTCGTCGTCGTCGACGACTGGGGCGCGCACGTGTTTGAGCCATTTGGGCCCCCCGTGGCGCCCCCATGAACATGGCTGGGTTCGTCTCGAGATTCTGGCCAGAGCGCACCCCAAGGTAGATCCAGGGTCGTTGTCTTACCAGCCTCGAACGTATCCCTATCCCTAAGATTGACACGCCAAAAGGCGATGACAATCTTGGGGATCCGCCCTCAAAAATAAGGGAATCCCCAAGATTGGCATCGTGATGAGGAGGTGCCCAGCATAGGGATCGGGATATGTTCCAGGCTGGTAATTGTCGTCGTCGTCCACCGAGGTCCAGCGATGGGGCCGGAGTGGAGTCTTTCGCCATCTCTGCGGACTGCGGCCTGAAGTTCGTCGACTTCAGGAGAGCCTTCAGACCCGTGCGCCGTGAGAACGAACACCATTGGTGCGTTCGTTTCGCTTCGGGCCCCAGGGGCCTTCACGGATCGCTGCGGCCCGAGGCGTGTCGCGTGAGGACCGTGCCGAGAGGTCGGGTTTTGATTTCTCGGAGTCCTAGAGATTGACACCAACACCAAGATCGGCGGTGTGCTTCCACCGAGGGAAGACGATCCCGATCTCGGTGATGGTGGTAATATTCTGGCTTCCAAGGTGACCGAAATATTACCACCAACACCGAAATCTAAGATCATCATCTCCCTGTGGAGGCAAACCCCTGTGCGGGTGTTGGTGCCAATTTCCAGGCCTCCAAATTTCGCGCGTAGTTGTCATCGCTTCACGGCGTCGGGTCTCCAAGGGAGGGAGGCCGAACGCATCCACCACCGAGGATTCTTCCAGTAGCGACTTTCAAGGGAACGTGGCCCCTCGTCTCCCAGGCAGGGCCCGTCGGTGGAGGCCGTTCGTCGCCAGGTCAAGGCCGCGATGAGTTCAATCCCCGGCAGAAGGGCTCGATCCCAGGGATTCAACGCTTTTATGGGGCTCTATATGCAGTCATCCCCACTGTAGTGGCCCTGATGAAATTGAGCGCATGTCCTCCCAATTGGAATCAAAGCGTGTTCCTAATAGGACCCAAGGCGATCTTATTGGAATGCCATCGCATTCCTCTCTAACGGGATCCTGATTCCTCTCTATCGGATTCGAATTGGGAGTCTATCGGCATCCAGTTCGCTCCTCTCCTGTTGGATACCGATTCGTTGCCTAATGTAAGCCAATTGGAATTCAAAGCTCTCTTGTCATGAGAGTCCGACTCGGCTATTCTGTCGGTCCCTCTTGGGATCCAAGAGAGTTCATCTCCCTTGGATTCCCTTTGCGCAGGGTCCGTCAGAAATTATATTGCAACCCAGTCTTTTGGTCACCCATTGGATCTCGTTGGGCTCCGAATGGGATGTGATCCGATGGAATACACCAGGATTCCAAGCGATTGAATTCCTGTTGGGATCCAAAACGGTTCTTACCTGGACCCGGGTAAGACGGTCAGATTCATCATTGATTTTGTGCGACCTTTGGCAGCCGCGCATGTGTTGTGTACCGTCCTAATGCTTCGAGTATTACTGAGAGGGCTCCACTAGCCCCCCTATTGTTTCTTTGTTTAGTGCGCTGGACTCCAGAAGCTGCTGCCTGTGATGATGCAATCGGGCGACGTGGTTCAACCACACCTGATGGATCCTCGTAGGCCATCGTGAGTTTACTCTGTCTCTCAACACATCTCTGCGGTTCTAGCTCAAGTTCTGTATTGTGCTGGCCTCAGGCCAGTGCCGCCGATCCGGGGCGCTCCGGAAAATGCTGATGTTGATGATGACGATTGTGATGATGATGTTGATGTTGATGTTGATGTTGATGTTGATGATGATGATGATGATGATGATGATGATGAGGATGAGGATGATGATGATGATGATGATGATGATGATATAATGGTGACGATGATGTTGGTGATGATGATGATGGTGATGACGATGATGGTGATGATGATGATGATGATGATGATGATGATGATGATGATGATGATGATGCTGATGATTAGGATGATGTTTCTCATGGTAATGGCCATGGGGCCATCTTGGGCGTCTTGGACCGAGTGTTCGGTGATTAGGTGCTTTCTTGGGCCGTCTTGAGGGCCTCTGAGGGCCCTGTTTGCCCGTCTTGGGCTTCTTTTGGGCTCGAGAAGGTCATGCGGGAACATGCTGGGGGCCCCAGAGGGCGCGCGGGGAGCCCCAAGAGATTTGAGTCCTCAGGCTTGAGGACTGAGACCAGGAGATTGAGAAAGGGACCTGGAGAAGCCTCTTCGGGGTTGTTTTGGGGCCTCTTGGGGGCCTTCTGGGGGCTTCTTGGGAGGGGGGGGGCCTTTGGGTGCTTCTTGGAGCCTTTTGAGACCTCGTGAGGGGAAAGGCTGTGATTTTCGGTTCGGGCCTCCCCTCTTGAGCCTCTCCTGGGGCCGTCTTGGAACCCTCTTGGGTCGGCTTCTTTGCAGCGCTACATGTCCGACATCCCCATCTCTTCCTCCACTGCTGCTGTGGTCTCCTCCGGGTGAGGGGAGCATTGCACGTCTAGGATGTATCGCCGCTCTGCAAGCACATACCTGTCCCGCACGCTTGGCCTATGCGCCTATGCGCCATGCTATGCTATGCCTCGCGCACCACACAGCACAGCACGGGTGGTCGCCAGCGTGTTCCGGCAGGGCTCTGCCGGAACGCGCTGAGCACACTTCTGAAAATCAAAGGCCCGTCCAGACCGTTACAAAGCCGACGCGGGAAAAATGGGAACCGTTTTCCGGTCACCTGAGCTCTTCTGTCAGCTCTTTTGGGCTGAATTCTTGCCGCCTGGATCAACGCGAGGCGGAAGTGTGAAAGCTAGATGAGTCTAGTGATCGTCCTCGCTAAAATATGTCAGACATCCGAGGTTTCCGACACCGTCGGAAACCTCTGTTGATGCTATGCCGATGCTCCCCTGACCCACGGGCTTGGGCGCTTCCTGGGACGTCTTGGCGCCCTCTTGGGCTGTTTTGGGATCGTTTTGGGAGCCTCTTGAACCGTCTTGACGCGATCTCGGGGGCCTCTGGGACCGTCGGCAACGTCGTGAAGGCCGAAAATGTACGCTTCCCCATCGGAGTTGGACGATTTTGACCTCGTGGGTCTCTCTTCGCAGGTGGTTGGATACCGATTGGGGCGTCTTGGAGGCGTCTTGCGAGCACGACATGCGTCGGGAATGGCGTTTTGAATGGCGTCGGCCCCCTCCCCCTCCATGGTCAGAGAGCGTCGGAACGGAGTCGGGAATGGTGTGGGCCCCCCCGCCCCCAAGCCGAGCACTAAATGCGTCGGGGATGGCGTCGGGAATGGCGCCCCCCCCACCGTAAATGGCGTGGCCTCCCCCGCCCCCGAGCAGTAAATGCGTCGGGAATGGCGCCCCCCCCCCCCTTCCCCCCTAATCATTAGGGGGGCCCACACCATTAAATGGTGTGGGCCCCCCCGCCCCCGAGGACTAACTGCGCCGGGAATGGTGTCGTGAATAGCGTCCCCCCTCCCTCCCCTTGCAGAGCGAAGCTTGAGCGAGCTCAAGTCCACGCTCTCAGAAACTCACACGCCGGATCGGCGGATTTTCGGTTCGGGCTCGCCCTCTTGGGCCTCTTCTGGGGCCCTGGTGGAGCCCTATTTGGCTGGCTTGGGCGCTTCTTGGGCCGTCTTCGCGTTCCCTTGCGCTGGCTTGGGGTCGTCTTGGGAGCCTTTTGGGCCGTCTTGACGACGGTCGGAAGCCAAGCCCCCCGCCCCCGTGCACTGCATGGCGCCGGGGAAATGGCGTTCCCCCCCCCCCCCTCCCCTTCCTCTGCAGAGCGACCCCCCTTCCCTCCCGTTCCTGAGCACTGAGTGGCGTTGAGGATGGCGAGCCCCCCCCTTCCCCCGGTAGAAAAAAGCGCATTCCCGTTGCCGAGCACTGAATGGCGTCCCCCCCCCCGCCCCCTGCAGAGCGAACCCGTCCCCCGTTCCCGAGCACGGAATGGCGTCGAGAATGGCCTCCGCTCCTCCCCCCCCCCCCTTGCATAGCGACCCCCCCCACGTTCCCGAGCACGCATTGAATGGCGTCGGTAATGGCGTCCCATCCCCCCCCGCCCCCTTGCAGGGCGAGATCGCCCGCCCCGCTCCCGAGCCTGAATGGCCGTCGGGATTGGCGTCCACACCCCCCCTGCAGAGCGACCCCCCCCCGGCTCCCAAGCACTAAATGGCGTCGGGAATGACGCCCCCCCCCTGCAGAGCGAACCCCTGGAGTGGCGCCCCCCCCTCCCCCCTTGCAGAGCGACCCCTCCCGGCTCCCGAGCACTGAATGGCGTCTGGAGTGGCGCCCCCCCCTTCCTCCTTGCAGAGCGACCCCCCCCTGGCTCCCGAGCACTGAATGGCGTCTGGAATGGCTCACCCCCCCACCTCCTTGCAGAGCGACCCTCCCCTGGGGCTCCCGAGCACTGAATGGCGTCGGGAATGGCGTCCCCCCCTCCTCCTTGCAGGGCGAAGCTTGAGCGAGCTCAAGTCCACGCTCGCCAAAACTCACACGCCGGATCGACGAGCGTTAGATTGATGTCATGTGGCTTCGTCCCAGGATATTTCTACATGGAGGACCAAGCTTTCAGGCACAACACGCTGGAAGCGACTTCTTGTAAGTCGTTACGCCCAGCTATTGGGCGAAGGTGCCTTGATTCAAATATCGCCCAACCTGTGTGAGGTAGGTGCCATTGCCGTGTGTAGGTGGTGTGTGCTGTGTATACACATGTGTGCGCACGATCCTTCGCCGGGCGCTCCTCCGCCGAAGGAGCGCGATCTGGCCGCTGGACCGTCGCAGTGCTGCAAGAGGCGAACATCGCCCCAGTCCCTTGGAGGAGCGCACGTGCCCAGCATGCCCTCGAGGCCCGAGGGGCCCGTCGGAAGGCCCCAAGAAGCCTTCCGGAGGGCCCAAGAGGCCTGTCGGGAGGGCGCCAGAGCCCAGACGTGAGGCCCAAGAGACCAGCCGGGAGGCCCAAGAAGGCTGTCGGGAGGCACAGGAGGCTCGTCGGGAGGCCCAAGAGGCCTGTCGGCGACTGGAGGCCCGAGAGGCCTGCCGGAAGGCTTATAAGCCTCTCGGCAGGTCCGACAGGCCTGTCGGGAGGGCCCAAGAGTCCAGTCGGGAGGCCCAAGAGTCCAGTCGGGAGGCCCAGGAGTCCAGTCGGGAGGCCCAGGAGGCCTGTCGGGAGGCCCAGGAGTCCTGCCCAGGAGGCCCAGGAGGCTTGTCGGGAGGCCCAGGAGTCCTGCCCAGGAGGCCCAGGAGGCTTGTCGGGAGGCCCGAGAGTCCTGTCGGGAGGTCCTTGAGGCCAGAGGGGAGGCCCAGGAGGCCTCTCGGAGAGGCCCAGGAGTCCTGCCGGGAGGGTCATAGGAGGCCAGTCGAGAGGGCCCGGGAGGCCAGTCGGGAGGCCCGAGAGGCCTGTCGCAACGCCCAGGAGGCATCTCGGCAGGCCCAGGCAGCGCACCACAACAGTTTTTGGTCTTGCAGCGGGAAGTATTGGGATTGCCCTCTGAGCATCGAGCTGCTCTGCCGGGGATCGAACCCCTCCTGCCAGGGATGAAGTACTCCTCCTGCCAGGGATGAAGTGCCAGGATTGAACTTGCCCTCTGAGGATCGAGCTGCTCTGCCGGGGATCGAACCCCTCCTGCCAGGGAGGAAGTGCTCTTTCCTCGGGCAGGGTCCGCCTCGGGATCCTGGCCAGGCAGCGCTCCAAGAGGGCTCGGGGGCGTGCACGGAGAATGTCATTCAGAACGGGTCGGACCAGGGGGAGGGGGATACCATGGCGGGGGCCATGACACCTCCCCAATCCCATGCCCCCCTCCCCCCCCTACCATTGTTTCAGCACTCTTTCCTGACCCCTACTCGTCCACGCACATGCCTGGGACCATGATATGCCCCCCCCCCTCTCTTCCTGGCCCCCTCGGCGCGCACGACGGCGGCCATAAGCCCGGATCTCCAGCGACACTTTCGCTTCCGTCCATGGATCCCCCTCGATCCCGGAGCTAGGCACGCTGTCGGGCCCCTGGGCCATCACGTCTTCCCAGGGCAAAAAACTGCCTCGGGGGAGGGGGTCGGCACCTCTGGGGCCGCGCACCCCAAGAGCCGCATCGTCGGATATCTTGGAGAGGCCCCCCTCCTTGGAAGGCCACCACGCGCACGCCTCCTTCCTCCCCTCCCCCTTGTCTGCGGCCAGCTGCGAAACCTACCCCTGCGGGTCCAGTCGGCGCTGGGGTATCATTGGACGTCCCCGCGGGGAATCACCTCGGTGCAGACATCCTTTAAATGCTGAAACACAATGAGTTTTGTAGGCATCCGACCCGCAGGGGTAGGGGTCACATGCTGTTGCCTACCTCGGGCGCGCCGCCCACAGATGGAAGCTGGCCGGTGCCGCGAGGCCCCCAGCGCTTTCAGCCTTAAAGGCACCGGACCCTGCACCCTGGCCCGGTAACCGTTCCCTTGCGGGCCCGGCGGTGGTGGATGTTTTTGCCGCTCCCCAGGGAGCACAGCGGCGGATCGGGGAAGGTCGGGCGGCCTGGCTCTGCTGCTTGCGACCCGTCCAACCCTGCCCTCCTCTCGGTGGCCATCCTGTCATACCATTGAGTGCTCTCCCATGCCTCCTTGTTTCCCCCCCTCTCTCTCGTTGTATTCCTTGTGTGTTGTCGGTTTTCTCTCTCTCTCTCTCTCTCTCCCTCCCCCCCCTTATCTCGCTCTCTCTATCTCTCTCTATCTTTCACTCTGTTTTTAATGTTGTGTGTGATCTTTATTTCTCTCTCGTCTCTCTCTCTCTCTCTCTTGGTTCCTCTCTCTTTCTATCTCTCTCTCTTTCTCGTTTCATAGATAAGCGCGTATTCCATACACACAGAATCATATCTGTGGGTATACATATACATATAACGGCGCACCGGGTCCGGGGGCCCGGGGCCGGGACCTCGACCGCAAATGTGGGCCCCGGGGGGCCCGGAGGCTCGTCGGACCGCCGGACGCCGTCCAAGATCGTTCGCAGGCGGCTTCGGAACGCGCTCCGATGGCTCCAGATGCCTTCCAAGACGCCTGTCATGACACCAAGACGGTCCCAGAAGCCTCCAAGACGCTCCGAGAGGCAGCCCAAGAGAGGCCCAAGAAGCAAAAATCGTGCCATTCCTATGGGAAAACGTATATTTTTCGCATGTTCGCATCTTGGGCTTTCACCGCGTCCAAGACGGCCCAAGAGGCCTCCAAGACGGCCTAGGAGGCCTCCGGGAGCGCTCCAAGGCTGCGCACGAGTGGCTCAGGACGGCCCCAAGACGGCCCAAGAGAACCCCAAGACGAGTTCGAGAGGGGTCCCAGACGGAGAAAGCCAACCTCGAATTCCGAGCTTCCGGCCCAAGAGGCTCCAGGAGGCGCCAAAATGCCGCCAAGAGGCGCCACAAGGCTCCCAAAAGCACCCCAAGACGTTCCGAGAGGCACCCCAAGAGAGGTCCAAGAAACAAAAATCGTGCCATTCCTATGGGAAAACGTATATTTTTCGCATGTTCGCATCTTGGGCTTTCACCGCGTCCAAGACGGCCCAAGAGGCCTCCAAGACGGCCTAGGAGGCCTCCGGGAGCGCTCCAAGGCTGCGCACGAGTGGCCAGGACGGCCCCAAGACGGCCCAAGAGAGCCCCAAGGCGTGCCCGAGAGGGGTCCCAGAGGGAGAAAGCCACTGTGAAATTCCGAGCTTCTGGCCCAAGAGGCTCCAGGAGGCGCCAAAATGCCGCCAAGAGGCGCCACAAGGCTCCCAAAAGCACCCCAAGACGTTCCGAGAGGCACCCCAAGAGAGGTCCAAGAAACAAAAAACGCTGCAAAACTTAACACAACCATGACTAGAACCTAAGCGCGCGCGAAGCGCGCGCGTGGTTTTAGTTTACAAATATACATATACATACATACATACATACATACATACATACATACATACATACATACATACATACATACATACATACATACATACATACACACATACACACATACATACATACATACATACATACATACATACATACATACATACACATACATACATACATACATACATACATACATACATACATACACACACATACATACATACATACATACATACATACATACATACATACATACATACATACATACATACATACACACATATATATATGCACATGTCCGTCCCTCATTCTATCTTGCACACTCCTGATTTCCACTCAAGGTAATGCGTCGTACGCGACCTCGCTCCTCGCTTATTATTTCTACCTTCGGATTTGAGTGGAGGAGATGCAAGCGGACGGTGGGATGGGAATATGAACAGGAGGCGGAGGAGGAGGAGGAGGAGGAGGGGGTGGGGGAGGAGGGGGAGGGAGGAGGAACGGAAAATAATGTAATGGGCCCATCGCGAAGCAAAGTAACGTGACCTGACCACCACCCGAGCCATTTGCTCAGGTTTAATGAGCCTACTTACATGTGGACCAAAGGCCCTTATGAATTCTGTCCAGTTACATCCGCCCTTTCGGCGTGATGGTCCTCCTGGGGCCCTCGGACTCGGCAGAAACACAACACGGCTTGGCCAGGGCAGTCCGAAGCTGGACATTCGCATACGAACCACAAAAGCTACATATCCACACTCTGAGAGATGGACGGAAAAGGAGCTCGTGGGAGGGGTGGGCAAGCCCACCCCCTATATGGATATATTGACCCTTGGCAGCCTCAACGCCGCCGAATTGGACCGTGGCTGCAATTCCGTGCACACTGTTTTCTTCCATTCGGTCAGACAGGCGATGGAAGAACAGCTGCTGCATCGCGTACAACTCTTGTCGTCGGCAGAGAAAGCATACTGGGACCCGAAGAAGGCGAGAGAGGCAGCAGACGGGGGAGGCCGTCGGACACTTTTTAAAACATCAGCTCACTTGTCCACGGCAGCAGCTTCGAGGTTCGCCCTCAGCCAGCGTGCACGGACCAGACTGGCCTTGTGCTCCGTCTGGGCCACTCGCGCACGTGATTCCTGAGGGAGGCGGGCTTCTCGTGCAGGAATCCCCGCCACTTCGTCGGCGGCCTCGTTGCCCGTTGCCCATGGCGAGCCAGAGCGGCGTGCCTGTGGTTTCGAGGGAGGATCCCGTCTGGTGAGAAGCCACTTGCAGCACGATCACATCATCAAACTTGCGGAGGCGCCCGCGGGTGCCAATTGATCTCCGGAGGTCCTGGTTGGCCCCGGGGTTGGAGAAATAGACGAGCGTGCCACCCGTCCATCACGGCCTGGTTGACTGTGACGAAAACGAGAAATCCTGAACTAAACTGAAAAAGGCCGCCGGGAGCGCCGTAAGTTCGCCTTTGGGGACGGACTGCCTGGGACCAGGCAGGGGGCTCCGCAAGGACACCGACACCTGGAACGGCCCGAAATATTCAACACTGACAAGGCCGATACCGATTCTCCGAAGACGCTCGTCGCGGGAGTCTTCACCCACGATTGCGTCACCGAAAACAAGCAAGGGTTGGCAAGGCGTGCCGTGCCCCAGAGAGGGATCATTAAGTTCGCCAGTCTTGCCGCTGGCGTGCCAAGAGAAATCGGTCGGGGTCCCTTCTACACGGGTCCACTCTGCTGACAAGATGCCTCGCAGCCAGAACATGTTTCGGCCTCGTGCTGGTTGTGCGCTTGAGGCGCCAGCGAGTCCGAGGCCGAGTAAGCAACATAACCAGCATTGCACTTGCAGCTCGGGGGCCTCTCGGCAGCGCGGGCAGAGAACGTCAACGTCGCCGCCGATGTCATCTCTGGTGCGCTGCCTGGGCCAAGTGCCCCCGACAGCGACGCACGACATCATCTCGGCCAACTGGTGACCGTGCTCAGCTTTCTCGAGAGACAAGAGGAGCTTTCTCTACGGCGCGTTGTCAGCACCGGACTCCAAGCCTGCCCCGCAGAAATGTAACGACGCCGTCCGCCACTGCTGAGACCGCACTGGTGCCTCGAACTCGTCGAGGAGAGGGATGACGTCGTCGTGGGGCTGCAGCTGGTCGAAGATGAAGGCCTCGCGACCCGCGGTACTTGCTGGCTTGGACCCCCGCTCAGTCGGATCCACTGGGCTCCAATCGCACTGCAGGGGGTAGCAGATGACCGAGCCCATGGGTCCCCTCACGTGCCTTGAGCGATCCTGATCCGCCATTGCACGAAACTTGGCGACAGTCCTGCCCCAGACCGCTCGGACTCCAGCCTGGATCCTCGGCGTGGTGACCCAATGCGCGAGCCGAAACTTCGAACAATTACGCGGCAACGCGTGCCCTGGTCTTACCCTGGGCACCAAAGGTCCAACGCGGAGGCGAGACACCTACCCCCCCTCGCTGAGATGGCGACGTGGCCCATCTTCCTCCGCATGGAAAATAGCCCACTTCCGAAGATCCCGTAGACCTGGCGCCCGCAGTGTCCAGCAGGCTGAGCACCTGCCCTCTCCAAGCGGACTGCTGGACGAAAGTGCCTGGCCGCATGGGCGAAGCGCCTGGTCTTGGAGTGCGTGCCCGACGCCTTCGCCACTCGTTTCCGAGCTGGGCTCCTGGCATGCCCCCCCGCGCCCGTACCACCCCGCCTGCGGCGCGGGGAGGGCGGCGATGCCCTTCTGATGCCTAGCAGCGACTTCGCGAGCATCACCATGGCGAGAGCAACGCGAAACGCTATTTGTTGCAATCTGGAGGCCATCGGCTGCCATTGCCCGACTGGCGTGTGAAGTGACATGCAACGAGCGCTGCTTTGACGGAGCGTCTCGAACCTGTAACATGCTGCGAAAAGTCATCTATCCACAACCCCGCGTCGACCATCGGGCTACCTTTGGAGACAGCATGGGGAAATGCGCCATGCATCTGGCGACCCTGGTATTGCTGCGCAACCCTTGGATCACGCCCCTCCGTTCAGCTGGAAAGCATCCGAAAGAGCAATCAAGTTGCGCTGGGACCCTTGGGCCAGGGCAAAGCAGAAGTTGCAGAGGCAGATAACGGGCGGGAGCCTCGCGGCCAGCGCCTTGGATGCCAGCGAAATCCAACGCATACGACCATAGAAGGCGTGAGTATCAATGAGCCCATGGCCAAATTCAGCTCCCAAGGCCGAGTGGACTGCCTCCTCCAATATACGCAGGAAGCGTTCTCGCAGGGTGGAATTACCAACAACGGCTGCGCCCCAGTGCGGTTGAGACTCAATTGCCCAGTCTTTGACCCGCGGTTTTCTCGCATGGGGCCAGATCCTGGGCAGCATAGCTAGCGCGCCAATGGATCGGCCCCCTTCCGTGTTCCTTGGCGAGCAGGCGGTCTATGACCAACGTGAGTTGGACCTTCTGTCCGCAGTCTTTCATCGTCAAGAAGAGAGAGTCTTTCCGCGCCCTGAGCTGCGCGAGGGCGCATCTTGCGCGCAGCCCCCTAGACGCCGAGCCCCGCAAAAGGAGGGGGGGCCCTCCACCTCGGCAGCCTCTCGAATATCATCAAATGCGCGAAATAGCTCGTTGTGGTCAATCGGCCTGCTACGCCGCGACCGGTGCCAGTGACCCACTCTG